GCGTGCTTTCAAAACGATTACACTCCAGTCAAAATCGGTCTTCTATGCTCAGGGGGCTGGGGGCGGGAAGTGATTTCATTTAGTTGCTAAGCACCGACTCAATGGATTAAACAGCTCTTCAAAGTATCAATTAAAATTTGCATATCCAACAAAAAGTCAATCATTAACAGCAACTAGTAAGAGTCCTCACTTAACTGGATTTGCATTTAAGGGCAGCCTATTGAGAAAAGACACATTTGAACTGGTCTCACGGTCCATGAACCTGTAAATACCCTAAGCTTTCAGTTTGATGCATTGCACGTTCTGACGTGCGGGGTTGCTTCAACGTTACAGCAGGCTGGGGGTTATTCCCCACGTGACTAGCCCGGCCCAGCGGGGGTGTCAACGTCTCGTGGAGGTCAACGCCGTTTATTAACTCCGTTCACCTCCGCACGTGAACACAGCGGCAGGCTGCAAGCGTGGAAAGTGAGAGCCGTCTGGTTTTTCGCGAGGGTTGCTCTGCTCATTTTTTCTGTTGCGAATAAACAGCGCCACGGTGGCGAGATGTTGACAACCTCGCCTTGTATACAGGAGGTCACGCGTTTAGCGAGCATTTGGCTGCTATAAATTTCCACGTGACGAGCCACTTCATTGAGCTATCGTTTGTGGCCAGGTCGCTTCTGAAAAAGAGCTATACAGCTTTGGGGCCTTACCTGGCAAACTCAGATTGTGGTTAGTTTAGTTATCGTTAATATCATAAATCATTAGCCATTCGTTGTTGAAAGCCTCATCTGGTCATCGCGGTTTCGTGATGTAACAATCCCGCCGAGCACCTGCACGCGAGCGGATTTCATCGCTCCATCTCTTCAAGAGGACGTCCTCTCGGACGCATCCCAATAGTTCCCTATGTTCAGTGTGAAATACGTGCTCTGCATAGAAATCCAAAAGCGTAGACGTGGGGAGCACAGAAGTGCAGCATGCATCGAATGGCATGCAGCTCCTCGTGCTAGACGACACACAGAACGTTGAAGATCACCGGATTCACAAAACTCTCACCCGGCACCCGCAGCCTGACCGGATCAATGAGTTCAGATTAATTGCTGTAGATAAGAAATGGAGCAAATGAATGATTTCAAGTCTCTCATCAGGCAGGGCCATGACCTGCTCAAGGATAAACAGGGCGAGACAATTTTGTCAAGCGCCAGGGTAGCGTGACGCCAACACAAATGTTTTGTTCCCGGCACCTATTTCAGTTGGCTTACGCGTTTCAGTAACGCGTGATGTGGCACGGGACTGGCCACGTGCAAATGAACAAAAACGGTTTCGGTTTCACGTTTTTTAAAGTAAAACAATAATCGCTTACAGCTCTCAAATCAATCCACTGCTGGATGAAGGCCTGATCACACAGGTCCGTGTGTGGGGGGGGGGGGGGTGTTGTTTGATCTCCGGCAGGCAAGGCTGCGTTGGCTGGGTCATGGAGCCCGCATGCCCAGCCACCCCATGCCTAAACAGCTTTGTTCGGCCGGATCGAGGGGGCTAAACGGGCGCGGCACGGGCTAGAGAAGAGATGGAGTGATGTGGTACAGGAGGACGTGGAGCTGAGTGGACTTGCCAAAGACTGGTACCAGCGGTGTCAAGATCAGCCTCTGTGGAGGAGGCTCGTGAAGGACGATACTGGACAGTTAGAGGCAGTTGCCCTCCAGCAACAACGGAGGGTGGAGGAGCGACGCTCACAACAATGAGCGGAGCGCCGGGTGGCTAAAGCACAGCAAGTTGGCACAGTAGAGGGTACAGGTGGTGCATCAGCCAGTCATCTCGGTCATCTCAGTCAGTCGACCCGTGGCACCTGGGTCTGCCCCGTGACCTCCTGCCAGCGGGCGTTCAACACTTCACGTGGCCTACAAGGTGCACATGGCCTGGTACAAGCGTCGTGGTGACGTCAAATGGCGGTTGTTGTTGTTTGATCATACTTCACCGCACTTGACACTGAGGCTTAGTGAAAGTGTGTGGCCATGAAGGCGAGATGTCAACCGTCGTGCGTTCAATCCCGACCCTGACGACTGCCACGCCGGGAGAACGATTCAAACCGACGAACTCTGCCATCAAAGGTTCAGCGTGCTGACCATTGCATCACAGCAGCAAACCACTTACGCGCTACATGAATCTAAATTGTATTGTATTACCGATTGCATCATGCTGTGGGGGGGAGCTGGGAGGAGAGGGGGGGGGGTCGTCCTGATCACTGCAATGACTTATTGGGGGGGAATAGGATTCCGGCTCACTCAAAGTTTTCGTGGTGTGCGCGCTGCAAACCTGATCCACCCTGTGTATATTTGTTCTGGGGCACTCACGTCAGGCGTGAGAGAGACAGTTAATTGAATGATTTATCGTCTTCCACTGCCAAGCACACGGAATTCGTTTGCCACACCCGACCCAATGTCACCACACACTCTGCAAACGCCACAACAAGTCTCATTTAGCTTCACACGGAGGACCAATTTCTACTTTTTGATCAAAGTTCTGATAATTTCAAAGCCTAAGCCGTCAACTGTTTTTAATTAATAAAAATGAGTCAATGTGGTCCTTCCGCAATTATCTTTGTGAGGATAAACATGCCTTTTAATCACGTGCAATGAACAATCGGAGAAGTTCAAGTCATTTGAACAATGGGCATTGTGCTTTTCACATGACAGTTGGGTCACAAGCGTCCAATTCAATCGGATGTGCTCCATGTAACCCCGTTTTTACGATGATAAAACGAAGCTAATGTTCGTGAAATATTACCAGCAGAACAATCGCAAAATGTATTGTTGTCACTAAATAAATAGGTTTTATGCATCTGGAATATATTTAGAATTGTAATGAAGAGACTTTGTGCGAGCATGAGCAACACTGTTTACCCATGAAAATATCATTCACATTTATGAGTATCAGTCTATGAGTACTACTGGCCTTTTTAGATGCTTGCTAACAGCACTTTGAAGATTGCGTAAGACTGTGTTAACAAGCAAGTGCGTGTGTGACAATGGGGAGTGGTAGTGTAGAGGTTAGCGTGCCGTGCTACGAACCTGGTGACCCAAGTTCGATTCCCGCTCACTGTCAACACTCGTGACAAATTACATGGGGAGACAAAAGCGGTCGGGCGTGGTGCTGGCCACCCACCCCCTCGTGAGCCGTGCCGGTCTTCATAGTGCGAACAGCACTTGCCTCCAAAGTCTGATACGGCTATAAGGCACATCGTTGTCTTTGTGGTGCAGTGGATAGAGCGCTACGATACCAATCAAGTAATCCGAGTTCAACTCCCCTCGACGGCTAACATCAGTGGCAAGAGGTGTATGCACCTGTCCTAGACTTCTTGGAGGTTGGCTAACTCTCGAATTGGTGACACAGTGCGTAACACTCAGCAGGAGCTTGTTACATGGCCCCCCCTCGTGCATTGCACCAGTGTTCATTGGTGCTCCTAAAGGAACGTGTAGAGCTAGGATGAAGGATGGTTTTATTTTGCTCGCTGAAATGCGCGATATAATTCTTATGCAATTAACTAAGGATTCGTAAATCGGAAGAGCTAAAAGATTAAACGCATCCAATAAAACGTGCAGGTTTACGAGCCACTGATGCAGAATGCCTCCATTTAATTTCATAGAATGTTAGTTGCTTTTTTTTTAACTCAAGTTGTAATTGTTTGCGGTCCTGCATGACTTTATTAAATCGGCAGTAGGCGGGTTGTAGGTATTTTTGGTGAAAACAGAACATCACGTTCAACTCCTAGTGCCTCACTCGCTATGCAATGATCTCGTTCAATTATCAGTGCCAAATACAACTCGAGGTTGCAACACGGATCCAGATGACTTCATTTTAAAGCTCATTTATGAAGTCAGAATATTCTCACTCATGGCTCTGCATGACTTGATTCATTATTCTCTGAACAAGGCGGAGGCGTAGGGGCTGAAAAAAAGATCCCTCTATTTGCAATATGATGACGATCATAAATAATCCCTTGCTCAGTTAGATTTTAATATTAAATCTGGAAATGAAACCATGCAAAATTAGCAATGTTGCAATTATAATCATGTTACACTGTCTTATTATGATTCATAATATAAAAACCAAGTTTTTTCAGCGACATGAAATTCAGTTGGGTAAGCATCTGCAGAAATGCGGTTTAAATTAGCTTTCACATTCTTGGCTCCGCATAATTTTTCCTGCATATCACTAAAACTCTGGCAATTGAATGACCATCAATTATCTTAGTAGCTGAATGTTGCTAAATGATGGAAAACTTCTGAACTGCTAAATAAACTCGCATTGGAAACTAACAGCATAAAACATGTGGTGTTTATGAGTTTTGTGTGTATTTTTGTAACCACTAAAGAGCAGACTTATTTTAATATTTCTCAACATTTATCACATTAACCTTTTAGACACGGGTCATCTACCAACGCCAATTCACCCTTTGACTGTAATACAATCCATCGTGCGGTGCAGTTCAGCAGTCGCGGTACGTTTAACTTACCGGAGACAAGTCATGGAACATCTGGACATTGTTATGTGCTGTAGATAAAAATTATAGACTATACTATTTAATAATTGTTTTAAGTGCTATTTATAGCACATTTACGCATGATTATTTAACTTTTCATTTAAGTTTAGCAAATTCAAGTTTTCACATTATAACCATTTCAAAGGATTTAAAGGGCTTGGCCTAGTTTGAATGTGCATTAGACAGCCGTGTTTAACTGGTTGCACACAATTCATTATTTAACGTCTAAAAATTTGACTTTACAGTTCAATTTTATCAAGTCGAGATTGTTTTCCACGTTTTTAACATTTTAAAGGCATCATTCACTGCACCGTCCAACAAGGCTGATGCGACTTTATCAACGTGTCCATCCAACGGACCACACCAAGGTGCTACGTATGATACGTCGTCTTCTCAGCCAAGTGTGACTGGGCGCCCATGCCGTTACACTGCGCCGCATCTTGCCAATGGAGAATCTTGGACCGTCCGTCTTTGCATTTACCTGCCCTGTAGTGTCGGTCCAGCTTGTCCCAGTGTGCCTCGGTGTCCGCACGAGGCAGGTCCGCAGACTTAATGGGCTCATAAACGGACACTGCGCACGCACGCACACACAGGCACGCTTACAGTGAGACCTTCCCCTGATTTACGGTGCCGTCATGGGCTGGCATGACCGTGCATCTCAATGTGCGGCACTTTGTTTAACCGTTACGTATACGCGCAAGCACATTTCTTGACAGATTAAGAGTATATGTACGCATTGAGAGATTGATACAAAGAAAACAAATCACTGGTTTTCACGTTCAAGATAAATGTCATTAAAATTCAAGACTCGTAGGCCAAAACGTATCATTCATTCGAAAACACACACACATATGTTCCTAAAGCATGTTTAGCATCTTTGATATGATAAAATATGCGCACCATAATGAATTAACATGATTGCAACACATTTCGTTTAATCGAACCATTTTTCAGCTTTATATGTAGACACTGCTTAAGTCGGCATTAATACTTCAGCCACTTATTTTTCTTTCACTTCGTCCCCGCGGAACTCTTACAATATCTTGCTGACAAGTTATTTACAAACGGCCGGAGCTGGTGTCCAAGCAGTGAGCGCGTGTGCGTCCCAGCGAAACGTTTCGGAGCGGCGCGGGTAATGAGACACGATACATCAGTAGTGGCGGACGGAATAATAGCTGGCGAGGTATCGCCAAGCTAACCGTCACCCTAGGACCCTTTCTCTTCCAGGCACCTTACCCAGCCCTCTCAATTCCACTCTTAACACGGCACGCCGCTACAAAACCTGTTTTCTTCTTCACATCACCACCTTCGGAGGTTAAATGAAAAAAACTGGGCACTGTGTTTTCATACTTTTTTTTTATAAATGAAACATCACTGCTCAATTTTTCCAGGGTTATGAATTTGTTTCTGGTTCACGAGGTGTATTTTTTTGGAGAGTATTTTTTTCCGATCCAGCATTTTTTTGGAAAAAAATATAAACAGGTAAAGAGGTTTTTTTACTCTTAGGTTTTTGTCGGAGCTGTTAAATGTGTGTTTGTATAAGCGTGTGTGTAAAGAAATTTGACAATTTGGCCAATGGGCCTTCATGAAGGTTAATCCACTTCTTAAAGTATCTCTAGCCTGAATACATCTTAATATTTTATTTTAATTTAATCTGTCAAAAGGAACATTTACTTTCTTAATACGTGTGTTAAATAGCATGGCGACAATCCTATTCCTATTTCAGATGACTAATTACGAGGAGAAAAAAACATCTGCAATGTGAGGTAGACCTTGCAGTGTAATACAAACGGACTGAAAAAACACCACTTAAATGTACACAGCATGTAAAAGCAGGAAGATATCAATACTATAGGTGGGCTATCTGATTAAGAAATCCATTACTTTAGTGAGCAACATTTAAATTACTTGACTAATTGCAACAAAGTACGTAAGTATCTAGGGGATGGGGGGGATATCCCTCGTCTCTGATAGAGGATTCCATGGACCTCATTGGTAAAATGTCCTGGTGAGCACGGAAGACAACCTTTGTAAAGTTTGAGATGGTGCCAGCGATATATTTTGTTGGACTGGTACAGGGATTTCGATTTAAAGCTTTCGTGACTGCAGGGATTCGTCTTCTTGGTTCTTTCGGTAAAGTCACGTAGAATGGAAATAATAAAATAATAAAATTAAAACATAATTCTCACGACGTTTCGGCCACAACGCAAGCAGCCGTCCTCAGGTGGAGAACAGGTCTGTCGAGAAGACAGAGTCTGAAACGTCGTGAGAATAATTTTATTATTTTATTATTTCCATTCTACGTGACTTTACTGAAAGAACCAAGAAGATGGTACAGGGATGTCGAGAAGAGGTGGTAGGATGGGACACGCAACAAAAGAAGCAGATCCAGAAGCCAAAATGGTATTCCTTATTATAATCTTCAACCTATAATAATAATAATAAGGTTTTTCCCCTTTTTTCTGGCAATAAAAACTGGAACTTTTTTTTTACAAGGATTCATGTCTGCATTAACCACAATACTTGCAGTCAAAATGCAAACAAAAAACATACTATGATAATATATGCATTGTCCTTGAAACTGATTGGTCCACACCAAGGGACGGCTTTCTTTTGAGCCTCAACCCAATTGGCACTCGACCTTTTCAGGAGTACTTCACACGTGACAGCTGACAGTTGTGGAATAAGCCAGGTTCTTGCGGATGCCAGTTGATCGTTACAACGCTGAACAATTTATGGAGTCCATAGCCAGGAGTTATCAGGGTAGAATAGTTGTCTGATTTGGTCTCTACCAAGGCTACCTGGTAAGAGTTTAGGTGTACCTTCCCAGGCTGGTGATTTAAATTATAAACGAGAGTTATTCCACATAGTTGCCAGCATGTGGCAGGCGATTTTTCTTGTTGTTGTTGCGAATTAACAGGGGGCTGGGGGCGAGCCCGTTGAGCCACAGAAATTGGATTAATAGATAGAATGAGAGCATATCATTAAAGAAGATAGACATGTGAGCGGAGCGCGAAGGGGAAATGGGACCGGAAAAGCGAGAGGTCCGTGAAAATAAAAGGAGAAATGTAAGAGGCGATGATCACTGAAGGTGTCGAGAGACTTGAAGATGAGTGTGATGGATTTAGTATTGGAGATGACAAGGTCGAGCGTATGGCCATGGGAAATGAGTGGGAGACGTAGCCAGTTGCGAGCGATCTATGGGTTCAAGGAATGACTGTAAAGTAGATGAGTGAGAGAATCTGACAAGTCATTGCATGAATGTATACGAGTTAAATCTCCAGCGATGATTAGAATGTGGATTTATATAGCATCTAAATGCAAATGCATCTCAAGATATTTACAGAAATAGTGGGTGTCATTTGTATAGAGAGACACAACGCAGTCATGGGCAGAAGGGGGGAAAGGAGGGTCTTGAGAGCCTGAACTTGAATAACGGAAGCCGGAGGCACGGGTGGCTGGGGTATGGCATTCCAGACTATGGGGGGGGGGGGGCAGTAGAAGGGAATAAGCGACCTCCCAGGTAAGGACAGGTCCAGAGTGGAAGCGAGGTGTGTAAAAAATGTACCCGTAAAAACTAAGTTTTTCACTATAAATCCTTTATATGCGTGGCGGCTAGAGTCCTCTCGTTCTCTGGCTTGAGATGGCTGCCACCTATGGGTCAGATGATTGCCTGCCGCCATTAAGCAATTGGTAATTAAATCAAAAAAAATTTTCCCTAAAAACGTGTAAAGTTATGGAAAAAAAATTTCACGAAAATAAATTGTCACGCACAACGAGTCTGTGTGCAAAATGTCAGCTCGATTGGATCACGGGAAATGGGTTAAAAAACGACCGCAAGCAAGCAAGCAAGTGAACTTAATATAAAGGATTTAAAAATCAGATGCCACCATTATCAAATATTTAAGCCTTCGATTTCATGTTTACCCGGTCCTTGAAATTGTGTATGCGGACATCACTGTGCAATCCATATTTTTAAGCAAAATTTCTAAACAGCATTACTAGTGCATGCGCACTTCAAGCCGTAAAATTGTATTACACTTGTTTTTAATAGGTCAGCAGGCAGTGGCAGGCCCCGTGAGTGTTCGTATATGTCTGCTGTACCATACATGCACAGTCCATTTGTCAATCCACTGCTGAATGAGGGCCTCCCCACTTCGTGCAGGTCATGCATGGCCTTTCTGTAGCTGTACTCGTCAGCACAAACTATCAAAAAGCAAAACTCAACATCAAGGCAAGAATCAATGTGATTACATAAGAGGGAAGGCACAAACCTGACAGTGTCGCGCTCACGCCACTACAGACAGCAGAGGCCTCCACTAGAGTTTTAGTGAGCCCAATAGGGTGTTTTTGCCTACTCTTCCACGCTGGTCAAGACATCTCGGAAAATGTGGGAGCACCCACACATTTGAAATACAAAACGCAACCCGTCGATCGACCAACTGCGGTGGACCCATTTTATACTGCCGGGTGGTGGTCTATGCGATCGCACACAGGGTGAAAAAAATTAACCCGTAAAAACAAAGTTTTCACTATAAATCCTTTATATGCGTGGCGGCTAGAGTCCTCTCGTCCTCTGGCTTGAGATGGCTGCCACCTATGGGTCAGATGATTGCCTGCCACCATTAAGCAATTGGTAATTAAATATAATTTATTTTTTCCTAAAAAGTGTAAAATTTTGGAAACAAATTTTCATGAAAATAAATTGTCACGCACAACGAGTCTGTGTGCAAAATGTCAGCTCGATTGGATCACGGGAAGTGGGTTAAAAAACGACCGAAAGATTTGCACGGTCGTAAGCGCGCAAGCAAGTGAACTTAATATAAAGGATTTAAAAAATTAACCCATAAAAACAAAGTTTTTCACTATAAATCCTTTATATGTGTGGCGGCTAGAGTCCTCTCGTCCTCTGGCTTGAGATGGCTGCCACCTATGAGTCAGATGATTGCTTGGCACCATTAAGCAATTGGTAATTACATATATTTTTTTGTTCCTAAAAAGTGTAAAATTTTGGGAAAAAAATTTCACGAACATTAATTGTCACGCACAACGAGTCTGTGTAGAAAATGTCAGCTCGATTGGATCACGGGAAGTGGGTTAACAAACGATCTAAAGATTTGCACGGTCGTAAGCGCGCAAGCAAGCAAGTGAACTTAATATAAAGGATTTAAAAATAGCAGCGCAAAGATTAACAATACAGAAGTTATTAAATTCGGGGTGGGGGGGGGGGGAGTCACTTTGGCGATAGCGTAAAGGTGCTTTGTAATCCGGCAAGCCCGGCGGACAAGAGCAGACGAGGGGGGAGCTTGCGCCGTGCGGAGCGGACTTTGCTCTCCCACCTGCCGCTTGGCATTCAGGTCGCGAAACTCGGGTTGAATGCCGCCAATGGGAGTAAGGAGGAGACCAACAAATGGGCCGTTAAAAATGTCACCGAAAGATGAACGGCGCAACAGACGCGAGGGAAAATATTATAAATCAAAGATAAAAGTCCAAGTCCTCCGACTCGTCGATTACACTCGCAGGAACTGTGGGGGCTCGCAACGAGCAGACGAGGCCGTTCCCCCCGCTCGTACGGGCGCTTAACCCATGCTCGTAACACGCTCGGGTTTTTTTAAACTGAATAAATCAGTGAATCCTAGATAACAGAGCCCTCACACCCAGTTTCTTCTCAAACCGCTTTGTAAAACTTGTGCAGAAACACAACTGACCTTGGGAGAAATGAGAATGTAATATATATAATTGTTTCTTTGGCAGTCGCGTCGTGATCTTACAACCAAAACCTTTAAATGAAATAGATTCTTATCCAGTCATGGAATGCAAGCCCTATATCTTAACATGGGATACAAGAATCGTTCATATGAAGCTACAATTAATAACGATGCGAACATACATATTAAAACCTTAATGATGAACACATTTAATACATTCTATGTTTTCCCAGGAAAGTATTACTTGTTGTCAAGCCTCATATCCAAAAGGGTTCTGTTTTGGCATCATTGATTATTTTGACATGTGGAATGAAAATAAGAAATTAAGTGCTTAGAGAACATTCCAAGTTATGTTGTTTAACCAGGTAAGAACTCCATAGGCGAGGATGAGTCATTTGCAAGTGACTTGATAAGCAAGGCACGAAAGCGGAAAACGTTCAAACTTATCACACGTTGGACAAAACCTACTTTGCATATAACAACTGCTATAGGCACTTCATCACCATATAAAGAGTGTCTCAGACATTATATCAATGCATGATCAACCAACCCCCACCGAAATAATCATTGCTTAAGATGTGTGAGCTGTTCTTTCCCTCCTGTAAATTACACTGTCCTGGTCTTTGGAGTTGTCAGCCGGTTAAACAGAATTAAACAACATGAACTTTATTTCCATAGAATGTATTTCAAAAGCAGTTCCGTGGCGTAAACGTTCAGAGCGGTGTACTGCTCGCTGTGAGCTCGAATAGCAATGTCTTCATTTCATAACAATGTGACAATGTTGCAATTTGAACATTTTTGGAAGACAAGCATAGAGCACATACATGGGCAATTTGCAAATGACATTAAGAGTACATTAACAGTATTAGAGTGAATATAAAATGTTTTGCAGAAAAAACGGGAGAGATTATCACACAATGACCTTTGGTAAATTAAGAAGGATGACAAAGTCAGACGAGAAAGGGTTTGGTTGTGAAGACCTCTATGATGGAATGCCCTTTATTTAGACAAAGGGATGAGAGAGAGGGATATGTTCCTGCCAGGGCACTTACTGGCCACAGGCAAGCTGTGCATGTCAAACAAGCCTTGCTCCAGCACTAACAAATGCCAACAGGGTGATATAGATTTATTCCTGGCCGAAGCCACTGTCAAATGTGGGAATTACCGGTGCTAGTTCGACCTTTAAGCCGTAACAGTATCATTATTTTAATGAAAGTGTATTAAAAAAATCTCTCTGATGTCACAGGCAAGTGCATGACGCAAGCTCTTATCAATGTTTAAGGTAAAAGTTTGCTGTGATCTCTACAAAAGTAAAATAGTTGTGTTTGTGGTACACATTCGTGCATGCTGCCATGGTATAATGGACCAGCACACTGAACGTGCAATCCTAAAAACTACAGTTCCATTCCATCTCTCGGGCACGACAGTTGACAAGACTGTGCGAGGTTCCTAAATCCCCCTGCCGCCACCTAACAGTAAAAAAAAGGGCACACACATTGAGTGAACTGGCAGGGTCGTACAAGCTGGGGTAAAACGTGGGATACTCCCACCTCTAGCACGACAACAGGCCGGCATGATTGACCAAATACACTATGGAAGGGTTATCTATTTTTACTTTCCCCTTGTGGAGGTTCTACTGCCGGCAGTGGCGTGACCAAGCAATTGTAAGGCTGCCCCCCCCCCCCCCGTCTGCCCAGTTACACACTGAGTGCGCGTTAGCTGGAGAAGTGAACGCGTATATTAGTGCACACTTCTGCTGTGCTGTATGTCACCATAGGCAAGCATCGCTCAGCCTAAGAAAATGCTCTATTGCGTACTCTAACGTAAGTCTTTCATTTGTATAAAGGTGTCGGTTTTGTTGCCAGGTAAAAGGGTAAAAACCTATTACTATATCTTTAATTTTTATCTTTGGTTTGAAAAAAACTCACACACAATGTGAACGTTTTAGCAGTTAAAAAAATATGCAAATTTTGTACTTGCCAATTTGTCACTCCACAAATTATGTTTTCGAGTCGTTAATTTCTCAGCTGAAATGGGATATGAATCAGACATAATTTATGAACAGAGCTAAACACACTCCTTCCACCCTTTACAAAACAAATACTTCCTTGAGGGTAGTTTATTGATTTAAGTTATTTTTTTATAAAGATGAAAAGCCTACACGATTTTGCCATGTATTATTAAACTGCTTCACGTGAAAATCATTTGGATTAAACATTCAGACTTTGGTCGCTTGATGAAAATAGTGTGTGTGTGTGTGATACAGTGGATGGGTGCCCCAATTATAGGCTAACCAGCAAGAAGGCCCGTGCTGTCATGAATGGCTTTGGCATGACACCTAGAGTTCGTATAAAATGTAAGTCGAGCTGTGTGCTAATCCATGGACTCTGCTCACAAAAAACAATTTACATCGCTGCTACAATTTCTCTAATGCGTGAAGATACATCACCGTGATTAACCTTCTGCATACGTGCACATGGTTAAAGTCATCTAAATATCAAAGTGTGTGACCTTCGATGCATTTAGCCTCTCAGAGACAAGTTAATTTGAAATCAAGACGAATAAGCCTGATGTTCTCCGCATTTGTGTCAAGGGCACTAACATGATCAATGAAGCCACGGGGCAGTTTAATTGATTTATCAACGGATTTCGTAGCGCACTTAAATTTCCAACGCATTAATTCGGCACGTACAAAGCAGACAAATTCATCGTACCGTTTAATACAGAGTAGAGTCTCCACGCATTACTTTAAAGAACCACACTTTGCAATTAGTTCCATGTAACAAGCAGTCAAAGATAATTCCAAACTCTACTATATTGGCAATGCACCGCTACCAATTTTGTAGTTAGCTGCACTGTTGGATGTAATCGCATACAAAAATTTTCTTCATGCAGTGTATCAGGCATCATGGGTTCTCACTAATAGCGCTGGTACCAACAGTCTAATTGGGCTCAAGGGTCTTTGTATTCATGTACCTCAACAAGACGTCGTACAGTTGAAGACCAACATATGTCTGTACGGTCACTTGTGTTGAAAAAGCACATTTAATATGATTTCAGACATCCGTGTGGGTGTGTGAATTTTAACACAGATGCATCACAATGGTGGTGGCTTATATTTTGTTGGGCAGCACATGTCCAAAATATCACCACGCTGCAAAGTGGGCCCGCTGAACACACGAGCTGACACGCACATCTAACGTTCTGAAGTCAAAACATTGCAAGTAAAAAATGCAAGAGACCGCACACAAAGTCGAGAGAGAAGATTAGTTTGAATACGTGCAAATATCAGAGGATTAGCATTAATCTTAAAAATACATCTTCCCATAAGTCACCAATTGAAAGTAAACTGTACATGTATGTATAAACACACATGCACGAAGGAATGTATGTAACAATTTATTTAAATAATCTTAAATAAGCATTTAATTTTATCCAGTGTTTTTGTAAATGACGTGAACCCTTCAAATATTCACAAATGGAATGTTTACTTTCCCAATTTAGAACATCTAGATGTATAGAATCCAGATTTTCATTCGTCAAAATTATCCTTCTCAGGTTCTCGGTAGCAGCGACATTGATCCAACACTAAACGACACTGGGCAGGTGTATCGCAGAAGTACTTTGCAAATACCAAAAGAAACGTCTTTGTTACTTGGAGAAACAACAGCGCGTTCACGTTCATCGCTCACTATTTCCAAACGACGGCGAGCGACAGCGATGCAACTACTATTCGAGGCGAACGGAGTTTCATACATCCTTGGCATGCTTGACGGAAAAGTGGAGGTTAGTTAAATCTCGAAGCAGAAAGAACTCACCGGCTTGGAACTGGGGCACGCCTTGCCCCTCAGCATCCTGCGAACCCAGCCGCTCCTGACTGTGGTTTGCGCGAGCGGATGCCATTGGAAGCCTGATTCTAGCGAGCAAGCGCGTTAGTAAATCTAATCTGCAAGCGGAACGACAATCACAATGTTTAACGTGGTTATTTCCATTGAATCCGAGAGAGAGAGAGAGAACGAAAGGACATCAGAAGAAAGGGGTGTGCAATGTTTTAAATGGGCGATGGGCCACCCCAGACCTTACAGGCCATACACATCCCGACCTTTCCTTCATCAGGCAATCAACATATGTGCAATGCTGTCCAATTTGTAAGTGAGGAAAATTAGTAGGTGTGATAAGGTGGCCTGTTTCTGATCTGAGAGTTTTAGAATCACCCATGCCTTCGCTTTATTCATGATCATTATGGCACTTAATATTGCATTACACCACTGCGTATATATGGTGTTCTAAACAGCCAATTTAGGTGCTTACTGATTGATCTTTACCATAAAACAAGATTTCGTTGAAGAGTAATATGTGTATGTAAAATAAATAGTGTATACACACAATGAATAATATCACAACCAGGGAAATTGAAAGCATTGTGATCAAAACTGTTTTACTTTGAGCCATAATGGTCACGAGCCAGTCACCGCACACCTGTTTTAATCGAGACATGGTTCTTTATATGCATATTCTTAGGTTTTTTCGGTAATTTTAATTTTATACCTATGTGACTTTACCGAAAAAAACCTAAGAATATGAATCCTTGCAGTCACGAAAACTTCTAATCTAGAATCTTTATATGCAGTTTGCATCAATTCACCTGTACAATAAATCAATGCCCAGCTGAAAACAGCATTCAAACTCTTTCTTGAACTTCCCTGTGCGTGCATATGTGGCAATCATTATTTTATAATCCGATTGTGCCTTAAATTATAAGCAAAGTTTTAAAATATCTGCTCACTTGTGTGGATAAGCATCGTCAATCTGTAATGCAAAAGGTGAGCCAAATGAGGTTCATCGGCATGCACCAGTCAACTAAAATCTGCAGAAGCCAATCAGCAATGTAAAGCATTTGCCAGTGTGCTATGGGGGACTCAACCCAAAGGCATAACACCCTTTTTAGCTGTTGTGGTAGGGCAGCAGATCATTTGCCATTCGTGGCTTCATTTTTTACCCAGGCGCTTGCAGCAGACGTTAGATTAAAGGTTGATTCGGGGCAAGCACAGTGTAAATATCACGGCACATCTAATGTTGTCAATCAGAGCAACAAGTCACCTTTTTGTGATAAGATTTGCAGGGGAGATTTTGATGTGGTTCCATTTTTATTGCCCGACTGTAAAATGCTGGCCACCAGTGATATCGCACTGTTTGGCTCCTCTTATCTGTAAAAAGGACATTTCTAAGGGAGCTAAACAAATTGCCATTCTATATGCCGATATTGAATACTATTACTTATCTTATAATTTTTATTCATAGGGTGGGTGTAGGATTAAAAGGGGAAAATGTATATATAGTGGATGCGATGCCATGCCAATGGATTATATGGGAAGGAAAAGTTATAATTCAAAAAATATAAATCACATCTGACCATGTAAGTCATTTGATCACACTAAAATATCCTTGAAAATAAGGTGCTTCATATCACTGTTTTTTTTCCTGGCTACCTATCCTTTCAATAATACGAATTGAGTCTTTTTAAAACATTAAAACATATCACGTACTTGTGGTTGGGTTCAGATTTAAGCTTGTAAAGATATTTCATCAATTATATTATATTGATTCATTGCCAGCAATATGACTTGTCTTCCAAAAATGACATTTTGGTGGGTTATGAACAAATTTCAGGTAGGTTACATCAGGGCATATATAGCTTTTATTTGTTCAATTAGACAGGATCTTTTTAATAAAAAAACTTGCCTGCTGTTATATGTAGACTTTCCCAACAAAATATTATGATTCATGATTCGTTTATTGCAGATTTATTGGCCTTGTAAGTATAATGTCAAATTATGTTTTACCATCAACCTCCACAACTCAACAGAGCAAATTAAATAAAGTTGTCACATGGGCAACTATGCCAACTGATTCCGTTCATCAGCAAAACAGAAGTGATGAAAAACAGAGGAATATTGACAATTTTATAAGATACACTCAACATGACATCAAGCATCGTCAGATTTTAACACATGTTCAGTTCACAAATGTGTTTCAACTAATAACGAATAAAAAATGTGCCTATTAAAAGAGACTGCGGCATCTAAGTAGAGTAGAATTCCTACAAACACTACGACTTCACTTGAAATGTGGTGTGAAGATAAGTTGGCAGTGTTTTAATTTCAGCAATTTTCGGTGTTGGCCCTTTAAACTGTTGTTTATTATCAAACGTTTGAGAATTTTCTTCACAAATATCCACATGGCGCCAAGATGAACGCAGATTTTAGACAAGTCACACAGTGCAAATATACATCCAATTAAAAATGAACACACCACTGGCAGCATAAAGAACCATGTCCTATTAAAAGTAAATTGGGAAATGTTACAGTAACCAAGCAGTTTTAATCATCATTAATTAGCATCGTTGGAATATATTCAGTATTATTTTATAAACCGTAGATCAGTTTTACACCCATCCACATAATTGGTACATTTTTAGAAGGAAACAATGATTAAAATGAACATCATTACATAAATAATTAACATGCTATAGTTATTTTAACAGGTGAGCGTTCGCGACCAATATTATCCATAATAGATGTTTTTGGATTAGATCGCGTAAATATAATTGTATCGTTAAACCCGACTCTGGCCGTCGCCTGATGAAGCTAGTTTTAATTACTGGCGAAACGTCGTACTGGAATTGTAAATGTTGTGGGCTTACTCTTTAACACACCGGTGTGCTGTACTAGTAAATAATTGGCATGTTTTGTTTATGTGACAAACCTTACTAATTGGCTGTGCCAGGCGGTGGTGGGTTTAACGGCACATTTACGTGATCTAACCCAAAATACCTCTAGTATGCTATAGTTATGTTTGTCACATTCAAAATGTTGATCCAGATGGTTATTGCTTGGTAGCCATGCATAATAGAATAGCATTTCAAAAGTTGGGCGCACAACTACAAAAAAAATCACAACCATTATGAAAGTGCAAGTTATTGGATCACAAATTTGGTGAGTTTTTGTTTACATAATCCAAAACAAACGCAAAGCTTAAATTGAGAAATGCGAAGGCATGAGCCTGCACATTGCCATTCTCTGTTCAAATATTTTTTGTCAAAAAAGCAGCTAAATGTGAAACACTCTTGCTGCTGGTGATGACAATGGCAGTGTTGGCGATGTTCGTGTGTTTTTTGTTGTAAATGTGGTTGTCAGTGAAAATAATGCTGGTGATGGCGATGGCATTAAATATGCAATTTGTTAAAAATAGTTACTGTTTCGGTTTAAACACGTGGCTAAAATTGGCAATGAGGTATTGGTGTCATTCACCCAGACCCTTTAACCCGTATCGATTCGATGAATCGTCTCAATCTTATTCAGGAATGTTTTTGGTTCATTTCATTTAATGCAGTAACCACAGGGATTATGTGAACCCAAACAACATATCTGAATCGAGAAATGTTATTTTTTTTCACATACCATTTGATGCACGTATTATGTATGAGCTTTTAAGATGTGTTATGACTTGGGCAGGTGACTTGGAAGCTAAAGCGCTGATATGGCAGTGCCAAGTTCCTGGGCTCAAATCCAGCCAGGCACCCATCAATATAGCGGGGTGTCAAGTAAAACGAGTTCATAGTTTCAGCCTCATCAACAATAATGGCGAATAAAAATACATAATTTAGTTGGGTTTGAAATTTGTCTCAAGTCCAACTGGGTTTAAAAAAAACATCCTTTTGGTAAACAATCTCATAGCAGAGTACATGGGAAAGTGCACCCCCCCAACTGTGCTTAGGATAAAAGCGCATTATAAGATATGTTTGGTATAATTCCTGCGGAAAACCTCTATGTGAGATTTCAAAATATGTTTTCATCACGTGAAAGAATGCTCATAAAACAACCGGAATTCATTGGGAAAATATTAATCTTTTTTGGAAGGGATATTAACTATGAAGTGATGCATTTTTATACTTTTATAATCAGTTATATCATTATTACACTTTAATCTGTTTCCTTGCTAGTTAATGAAATTACGTTTAAATGTTCACTGCTTATGAGCAAAGAATGTGTTGACTCAAATACATTCATTTGAAAGGAATGCTTTAGTGGAAACTTACACACTACTGCGAAATACAACAGCGCTTGTCAATATTAAAATAGCAGACTAGGTCAGACAATTTTTTTGAAAGGGCCCTCATAATGAAAGTCACAGGCTACAGTGAAGATGAGATGCGGACATGATAGTAATAAAAGTATAAGAATAGGTTTTCCCCTTTTTTTGGCAAAAAAAACAGGTGTTAAGATGTTAAAACACCAAACTGAAACCTTTTGCAAGGAATCATGTCTGCATTAACCACAATACTTGTGGTGAAAATACAAACAAAAACATACTCTGACAGTACTGTATATGCATTGTCTTTGAAACTGAATAGTCCACACCAGACAGCTTTCTTTAGAGCCTCGTCTCAAATGGTGTTAGACCAGAGGACGCCAAAAGGCGTACAGGACAAAGATGATGCACTATCAGAGTAATGAGAGCTCGGGGTGAGCAGTTACACACCATGGGACCTCCTTTGCCAGTACCAAAATATGAGAATAGGTTTTCACCTTTGTTCTGGCAACAAAACCACAAGTATTTGTGGTCAATTCAGACATGATTCCTTGCAACACCTGTTTTGTTGCCAGAAAAAAGGAGAAACCAATTATTATATTTTGGTACTGGCAAAAGAGCTCTCATTACTCTGATAGTGCATTCTCTTTGTGCTGTTCACCTTTTGGCGTCCTCTGGTCTAGCACCGTTTGAGAAGAGGCTCTAAAGAAAGCTGTCTCTGGTGTGGACTATTCAGTTTCAAAGTCAATGCATATACTGTAAGAGAATGTTTTTTTACCACAAGTATATGTGGTTAATGCGGACGTGATTCCTTGCAAAAGCTTTTAGCTTGGTGTGTTAACATCTTAACACCTGTTTTGTTGCCAGAACAAAGGGGAAAACCTATTCTTATATTTTGATACAGGCAAAGGAGGTCCCATCGTGATGATAGTTATAACTGTCCACAAAGCATGATCGTGGAGAAACCAATTAAAATTTAAAAAAGTAGAACGTTTGTTAATGCATTATAGCCGCCACGTAATAACACGAGCTAGTTAGCAGTGGAACCTGGCTGATCAAAAATGTGGTCCATTTAACTCGTCAGGTCTCCTGTTCTTCTTCATTTACTATACACAATATTACGGTAATTCACGCAGCTTTATGATAGTTGAAATTGATTATTGAAGCATTAGGATGGAATCAGGAACAAGCTATGAAAAAAAGGTTTTTAACAAGTGTATCACAATTATAAACGTGTATTTCATATCTCGTATTGTTATACTTTAGTTTGTATTATTTTTGCATTGTTCTGTGGTCTTCTGCCAAAATACATAATGTAACTATCTAATGCAACCCAAAGGCAATTTACAGGATCCTTAATGGAGGAAATGAGTTATTGATGTAATGAATTAATCGAATGGGAACAGCTGCTCCTTTGATTTGGTTGCCAAACTAATTTTAGATTATCTTTTAAGTGTTTCATAGTGGTATAAAAAAACTCAAAACAACGTTTTCAGAGAAAAGCAAAGAACGCAAATGCTAAAGTTATTACCATTCAAACAAATTATTGTATACATGATTGATACTCATCAATTATTAAATTGCCAGCTATGCTATCATGGTGAGTGGGCACGACTACATCATTAGTGTCTCCATCTCAATTTTCTTGCAGTTTAATGTAAAACATTAAGGTAACGGTACTACTATATTTACTGTGCAATAGACGATTAACTGCAAATACAACTGAAACGCTACATGTGCAAGAACACTGGGTGCGATTAGCACACAAGGTTGACTGCAGTACCTCTTGTTAACGTGAACAGGTTGATAGCAACGTGTATTATTATGTTTATGAAGGAAAGGGAGCATGCTGACACAATTACAAGCATGGCAATTACACCCAGTCGATGTCTCATGACAACTGTGCAGGATTATGCCGCCGTTTGTAAAATGCTTGTAAGTTTTTTAACACGTAGGCATTTATCGCGACCAATATTATTCATAATAAAGATTTTTGAGTTAGATCGCGTAAGTGTGAATGTGTCGTAACCCTCCACCACCCGACACAGCCAGTAAGGTTTGTCACGTAAACAATGTGCCAATTGGTTACTACTTCAACCCACTAGTCACTAGTGTGTTGGAGAGTAAATGTTGTGGATTTAAATGTTGTGGATTTATTCTAGATTTGAAGCTTTCGTGACTGCAAGGATTCATATTCTTAGGTTTTTTCCGGTAAAGTCACGTAGGTAAAAAATTAAAATTAATAAAAGTAAAAATAAAATAAAAATCACGACGTTTACTCTCCAACACACCGGTGGGCTCAAGTAGTAATTAATTGGCGCGTTGTTTTTTACGTGACAAACCTTACTGGCTGTGTCGAGTGGTGGAGGGTTACACTTAAGCGATCTCACCCACAAAACATTATGGAAAATGCTTGTAAGTCAAAAATACACACAACGCATAGCGAGAATTCCCAACACAAGTGAGATACAGATTCACTGTTCATGAAAACTATGCCACGGCGTTGCAATTTTTTTCAGCATGAAAATTGTGCATAAAAGGCCACCAGTTTTTTTTATTTGACTACTTTAAAATTCAACAAAACGGTGGCTTTGTGATATGCAGTGGAAATTCCACATTCCCATGGCAGGTGCCTTTCTTTCGATAGGCCAACCGCTATATTCTTGGTTCTTACGGTAAAGTCACGTAGAAGGGAAACAATAATGTTCTGTAGTCTTCTGATGATGATTGTGTTGCAGTCGAAACGTCGTGAGAATTGCATTGTTTTATATTTTTATTATTTGATTGTTTCCCTTCTACGTGACTTTAAAGAAAGAACCAAGAATATGAATCCCTACGGTCACGAAAGCTTTAAATCAAAGGCCAACCACTGTTGGGACAAAAATTTGGGTCTACGCAACCAGGATTTGAACTCACAAGTTATAATTCTTCCAGTTCTGAGTGAAGTTAAATAGAAGAGTCTGAGATTATGCTGAAAGTATAAGCGCTGTCATTGTGGAATGAGTATTGTAATAAAACAAATACTCCAAAAGGTCCGTCGCACCGCATACATAATTAAAACAGCATTCGTTTCTATCAGTTTGAAAACCTCCTGAACAAATGGTTTTTCAGCAGCATTTGCTTAACGGGCCACATCTAGAAAGGTTTCCACATCTCTTAGCTGTATTGAGTCGAAGGGGTGCTTGCCTGTAACAGCAGAAAACCCAGCAGCTATAGGGCCCACATACTCTGCTCATGAGCACACAATGTCCAACAGCGGTTACGATTTTGCCTACTACTCTCATGAGAATGGACCAGGGGTACATATACAATTAAATTTTGACTTAAAACTTTCGTGACTGCAGGAATTCATTCATATTCTTGGTTCTTTCGGTAAAGTCACGTAAATAGAAAACTAAAACATTAAAAATTAATAAAAATAATAAAAATTAAAAATCCACGTTTCGGTCGTCGATCAAAACGTCGTGGGTTTTTTTTGCTTTTATTATTTTAAATTGATTTGTATTCCATTTTCATATTTTTATGTTTTGTTTTCTATTTACGTGACTTTACCGAAAGTACCAAGAATATACCTACAATTAGTTTATTTTATTTGATGATTTCACTGGTGCATGAAAAGCCCGTGGTTCACGTTATGCTGTCACTCAAAGTCACCCGCGATCACCATCGATGATGAGCTTGAAGGCCAATCTCAATAAAAAAAACACAACTCGCCACGCGTCCCATCCCTTGCACACCGCGGCATCAATGTTGAGTGGAGCTCGACTGTGGAAACCAGGACAAGCACTGTCGGGGTCAACCAGTAACCATTACCGTAAGGACACAGCACACACTATGGGAACCTCATTTGCCAGTAAAAATATGATAATTGTTTTTTACCCTTCTATCTGGCAACAAAACTGACACCTTTTCACAAGGAGTCATGTTTGCATAGACCGCAATACCTGCAGTCATAATACAAACAAAAGACATAACTCTGATAATGTATGCACTGTCCTTGAAGTTGATTGGTCCACACCCGAGACAGCTTTCCTTAGAGCCTTTTGGCGTCATCTGGTCCAACCCATGTGAGACTAGGCTCTAAGGAAAGCTGTCTCGGGTGTGGACCAATCAACTTCAAGGACAGTGCATACATTATCAGAGTTGTGTTTTTGTTTGCATTACAACTGCAGGTATTGTGGTCTATGCAAACATGACTCCTTGTGAAAAGGTGTCAGTTTTGTTGCCAGATAGAAGGGTAAAAAAACAATTATGACACAGCACACGTTTGTTTTATAGAACTCCTCGAGATTATTCAGTTAATTGCAATCCCGCGCGACAAACACAAGCAATTGTTGATGTTGTAACCACACAAGGTTTAGCGTTGTCGTGTTTGCGCGTGTTAGTGTGACTACCTTAGCACGCAAGAGGCCATACCTGTCAACCCCTTATCAGTGCCCTACCTTATTACAGACCAATTCACACACCTTATTGCTCACCCCGTGCCCCTTATAAACCTCAACGTTCATCTTACAAAGTCCCATCACAAGGGAGAAACACTGACATTGTTGTTATTTTGCCCGTATTGAAACGGCTCAACGCCGTACGGACCTGCAATGTCAATTGATTTCCCTGTCACAAGAACGTGGAGTGACCCGTACGGGTTGACAGGTACATGGGGAGGAGGAGGATGATGATGAGGAGGGAGAATAATCCTGAATTCCAAACCTGCTCGGACAAATTTCACCTTCATCGGCCTGGGCACAGACACTTCGGCCATGCCGCCGACAACTCGACCGACCTCGCAAAGCTTCTGGCCCAGACTGACTCCTCCTACTCCTGCTGCTGGTCCACCACCACCACCACCACCACCCTACGTCATCAAAAACAACACGCGGAGTTGGCGGCCATGCTCGTAAGGGACGGGCAAGGAGGCGGGTGGTGGTGGTGGGGGTAGGGAGGCAGAGGCACAACTTGCGAAGCCAAACGGCGCACTGCGATGACGTCAGACGCAAGGGCTGGGGCCAGGGTAAGCGGGTTGTCATGTGTGTGGTTTTTTTATTTAAAGATATCGTGTGACTGCAGGGATTCATCTTCTTGGTGATTTCGGTAACGTCACGTAGAAGGGAAATAATAAAAGAATAAAAATACTAATGAAACTTAATACAATTCTTATTTTTATGAATAAATATAAAATCAAACTTAAGAAAATTCCTATTTTTATTAATAAATAAAATATGTATTGTTGAATTTATTTTATTTTATTATTTCCCTTCTACGTGACTTTACGGAAAGAACCAAGATTTTTTTTGTATCAACATATCGCACGCGTTATGTTGGACTTCTTTCGCGCCGTGCATAGCCAAACGCGTTCATTTGGAGGTGCATACGTTTTGTCCCCTAAGTGAGATGATGGACGATTGAAATCGATTACGGTTTGGTGGTGGACTGCATACCTGTCAACCCCTTATCAGTGACTACTTTATTACAGACAAATTCAGACCTTATTGGTCGCCCCGTGTCCCTTATAAATCTCAACGTTCATCCTACAAAGTCCCATCAGAAACAATTTCCCTGCACACGAATAGGGGTGAAGTGGATGCGTTGACAGGTATGGGACTGTGTTGTCATGCTCCTGAAGATGTAAAGTTGTTATGTTATTAGTAGTTTAAGTCACAAACTTATTGTTGGATGTTCCCCACATCAACACGACCCTTAAGCGGTGTTTGTCCTTAATGTTACCCCCCCCCCCCAAAAAAAAATTTTTTGTGGAAATTCCACATTTCTATGACGAGTACTATTGATGTCCCTCACATTCACAAGACCTTAAGCGATGTTCGTCCTTAAAGTTCCCATCCCACCCACCCAAAAAAAATACACTTATGGAAATTCCACATTTCTCTGGCGGGGACAAGTACATTGTGATCATCACGACCTTCAAACACAGTGGCCGTATCGATTATCCTCAAAGAGAACAGCGCTTCACAATTCATACACCGCATACGCCGATCCTTGCGCTCCTATTGGTCCAACGCCACAATAGGGTGTGGCTCGCGCCGACCAATGAGGAAGGGCGAAGGTTTCACAGCTCGGCTTGTGCGCTGTACGAAATTAAACGGCGCCTCATTCCGCGTGTAAACACGGAAGTGCGAGGTTTTTGCCGTCGCACGGCGATCGTGAGGATGGCGCGACTCGTCTCGGCCGCGTTCTTGGCCTTCTCTTTGCTTCTTGAAGGCGGCCACTGCGGGCTCGTGAACGTGACGGACAGCGTCTTCGGGCAGATCGGCCGCGGCTCGCTCGCCGCCTTCGGCGACTTTAATTCTGACAAGCAGACGGACGCGTTTATTGTCACCGACAGTAAGGCCCCAACGCCCGCCCGCCCGCCCCCCCCCCCGCGTCGGCTGACTGAGCTGCCCGTGTCGGTTGCACGTCGGCAGGCAGCTCTTCTAGGCAACGGCTAAGGCCGCGGTTTGTCGTGAGCATTCTCGAAGCACAATTTCGGTATTTATCGTGTGACAAAGTGAATTTTGAACAGTATACGCAGACAAGTAGGCGCGCGCGTACGAGATAGTGCGTCTGAATAATTTTTACAATTGACGAAAAATGTGCGCCTATGTTTTCCATAGCGAATCAATTTTGGAATGAATGAAATGCGACAAATGAAACGAAAAAGGCAAACCACTAAACATGTTATGACGTGCACAAACGAGACAACACAGGTGACACAACACAACCCTGCAGACGAGAAAGCACATCTAACGCAGTACAAAAAGATGAATAGTACAGATATTACAAACCAGAAATTGTGTCGAATCACCGGGATATGGTCAAGAATTGTATTGCTACAAACGCCTATTCGCCTTCTGGACCAGTGTTTTCCGGCAGCGTTTAAGCAGGCACACCCTGCCTGGCCTGTTTCGAGTTTTTCTTGAGAGTCGTCAGCAAGGCGTGACTTGGCAGCTGATAGTAAAAGGGACAATTCCTCACCATTGCCTCGTTGTATGGTATTTGACCCGGCGAATAACTTGGTGATAACAGCTGTGTCCGAATAGTGCGATTTGAGTGTGTAATGTTAGATAGCTCTCCGGTGTATTTTGGGATCGTACCGTGTGCTCTTTAGCGTGTGATGTCTGACGTTTTGCTCCACGTGATGGGGAGCTAAATCAGGAACTCGTGGTCTCGAGTTTTCTCCAGGAACTCAAAACTCCCATCACGCGGAGCAAATCGCCGGTAGCGAAGAGTGCCAACCCAACACGCGGTACAATCCGGAAACACGTCTGAGGGCTATTCAGGAGAACTGCAAAAAAAAACCCTACTCAGTAGAATGTTAATGTAATCATCACTGCTTTGACTACAACCGTTTACATACCCAAGTTGTCAATATAGAAGCTGTGCTTGTCCACAGATGAATAATGGATTCCCCGCGTCATTTGGGTAATTTTACTACACTGGTTAGCAGCGTTTGTTGTAGAAGGGAACATAGAAGTATAGTGCAACAATGGATATTGCTGCACTGAGATCTGTCACCTACTGTGTAGCCGTACAGCCTAGGACACATGTAAAGCACGGTGATCACCTATCCGAACATATCTCCAGGTCTAAGTTTACATAGCTTTCCAGATTGGATGGTCATAGTGCAGAAATAACACCCACAAACGTTAGAATCATCATTCAGTCTTGCGAAGAATGGGTCTTTGGGGTTTTAGACAATTCAGGCAGATAAGACTTACTCAATCAGTCACCTCTGCTGAATTACGACAAATATGCATACTGTAACATCCCCAAAATTCAAATTGACCACCTAGTTTACTGTTGTGGCAATTCAGCTTAAGGTAGGTTTCAAGAACTTAACGAATAGTGGGTGTACAGATACATGCTTGAATAAGTTTCCACTATCATAACACTTAACTGAAATATAAAGTTAAAACATTTCAGTGACTTATGAATGGGTTTTAAAATTACAATATCTGCCTGCAGTCATACTGCCTTTGCAGCTATCTTTTTAATTAGATGTGATTATAGAAAGCCTGGTAAAATATGGCCTTATTTTTATTTTATTCTACCTGTACAGTCAAACTCATCCGACGTCTGAATAACATCAACTCCTATTATCTTTAGCAGCTGAAGGGTATCAGAAAACTCCGATTATACGTGCCCCTTTTCATCCTATTACCCATGCTTTTTTACGGACAAGAGTAAATTTAAAGGTAGCATTGCAGATAAGAGGGTGTGCGATCTATGTCCCCCACATTATCGTGAATATAACATATATATTTTAATTTCAAATGCGTATTTAGAATTAAAGTTTAGAAATACAAAAAATTTCTCACTTTAGTTGAAGAACAATGTATATTTTGTGGCACAGCAACAGTCATTGCCAAATACAGTTAGTAATTTACTTGGTTTTGTCAGTGGATTAATCTTACCCACCTTTTAACACTTAAAAAGAAAGGCAGACTTTTTTTTCATGTTTAAAAATATAATGCAAACAGAATTGTAACGTGATCACATTTAATATGGTTGTCCCATGCCTTTGCAACCACAGTTAAGAGTCGTGTGACAGAAAATCCGTACAAGTGGCAGATTTACTAACACCCCCCTCCCCCCCCCAAAGCGTGTACCTGTACATAACATCACTGGAGCGGAATTATTGGCACGTGTGCAATCAGTGTTGGACATAATTTGTTTCAGAATTGTCAGCTCCTTGATATAGAGGTGATCCTGATAACACAAATGTTAAGCTTGTAAAATGTAACATTCATCTTAACCTTAACTCCAATCAAGGCCTTGACCCTGACATGAAAATCAGTGACAGCCCTTCCCTGAAGGGAACATATCCAATCTTGTGTCCATTTACTGAGACCTGGAAAAGTCCTGTATTGAGTAATGTTTGTACAGAATATCTGCACAGGCTGATGTAGAGTGCTATCTTTTTTTAAATCAAATAACTGCAAATACATTTAGTGTTTCCCCTATGAACATACAATGTAAGGCAATCCCTGCCAAAATCTCGCTGCAGAAGTTATTTTGTTGAAAATCACTAGTTTAGGTATGTCCTGCTAGAATCAATGTTAAAGGTGCAGCCTATGAATGACTTGCTCACTCCACTGCGGGCAGATGGGACTTCAATCGAGGAATCTATAAATAATTCGGCCTGCTCTTACATACTAGCCAGACGCCTTTGAAGAGATGGCAGTACCCACACTTTACTCCACCACACGTGGGTTGTTGATTGACTAACTTTGGTGTCGCTATTCATTCTGCTGGACGGATAGAGGCAGGGGAGGGGATTTTAAAACTCTTGCCCATTGTTTCAACTGTCACACCAGGAGTTCGAACTGTCACTTTTTGGATTCCAAATTAAATCTGATAGCGGTTACACGCGAGCATTATGACAATTTAAATGTAACGAGGCATTGTAAAAATATGAATATACGCTATTAAGTCGATCTGAGCCCACAACTCATAAAATGAAGTTGTTTATGAAAATAAAGGTTAAATTTCACTCAATAACCATGCGTGTATGTATGTGTGTGTGTTGTAGAGAAGAATGTGACCATATTGCTGTCTGGAGGAAAGAAAACGTACTTTTCAAAATACCTCTCCTTCGCCGCAACAGAGTAAGAAAACCACACACAACGCTGCCATGTTCCGCATATAACCAAGGCTTCGTTTCTTATGGAATTTATTCCAGGGACCCAAACCCCTGAGACCTCCCTGCTTCTCAATATGGGAATATTTTACAGAACCCAGCACCGACTGATGTTAACCCTGCATATAACAATCAATCAAGTTATCGATTAAAATTATTATAACATGCACGATACATTCACTTGTACATGTGAGAATAAATTAATCTTTACAGTCTACGCAACATTTTATGAAAATGTCAATTAGAGCTAATGGAGTAAACGAGAAAGATGATACAAATTATTACAGATGGTACTAATGAGACGGACAGAGCATACGCGACAGGTAGCAAACGGACCAAATTTTACTGCTATTCGAGAAAAGACGGTGCATGGGATTGAGTACACGACCCAGTTAAAAAAAATGTACAGACAGTACAGTGATGCACAGCGCCAACTTGACAGTGTAGAGAAGACACGTAAAAAAAATACAAACTACGAATGAGACAAGGAGATAGAACAGACTAGACAACTAGTAACGACGAGACGGACAATACAAATATGAAAGATTACACACGAGACAGATGATAAAGATAGATGAGCAGGACAAATGAGATACAAAAATGAGATACAAAAATGAGATACAATACAAGACGAAACAAATGAGGCAAAATATTTGGAACCAAAAATCAATGTACAACACAGGAAATAATGAGTGAAGCATACACAGTATAAATAATGAGGTGGATATAGAGAATTATTATTGGTATGGCAAGAAATTGTCTATTCCTCAATAGAATTGTGGCCCCAAATTAATGACTCCGCTGTTGGTAGGCTGTCAGTAATTACTGGCTTAATAATTTTACACGTAACGTTACATGTTGTTATCTCATGAAATAAATACTACTAATATGATGGTAAATAATGTTTACCTATCTGTTATAGCTATTTAAAACATGATTGCTATTTATGCTGTATACATTATATATATCAAAAACTCGATTAATAAATATTACTACATTTGTATTGTTGTGTCCCTTCAATGAATAAAATGACTGTACGAAAGTATTGTATGGAAAAAAATACACTAATACTTTATATGTGAACGTAACATTACATTTATTGAATGCAACTACTTGCTGTGTGTGTGTGTGTGTTTGCTAACCAGGCAGATACTATCGTCTAATTAAATATGAAACCCTAGTCTTATATAAGATGAGGTCAAGGTCTTGAACCTGGAATCCCAGCATTTCTGGCTCATTACCCTCGGCAGCAGCATAACATTATCGGCTGGCCAGCCCTCCTCACGATGTTTCTCCTTCATCTGCAGCGATGGAATTGTGACCAGCGTGGTACCAGGTGACTACGACGGGGACTCGCAGATGGATGTTCTCGTCGCCACAACACTCGATAATGTATTTCAGCAACTCACCGTTTATTGGGGAAACCAAGGGAAGACAGGTAAAAACACTTATTAAGTAATTATGAAATTTTGAATAGCATTCATATTTATTTGATACATTTGGATTATGTGCCATTATTAAAGAGCAAGGCTATCACAGATGCTATTTTTTTGTGTGTAGACATGTATAGTATGTCAGTAGGGAAGGAAATTATAAGTGATATTACCAAATTAATTAAAGTAATTTGCTGGTAATGTCCAAATTTCACAAATTTGGACTGTAATGCAGGCACATATGGCCTACCTACTCTGTTTTTTCAAGAGCATCACAAGATTTTAACATACGCTGGGAAGAAAGACTGAATGTATTGATAGCAGTTAATGCACCCACGGCATTCACCTGAGCGGCCGATGGGCTCGACTTGTGACCCCGTGCAACAAGCGGCACATTTGCAATCGCTTGGCTTAGTCACCATCCGGAAATTAACAAACAAGGCTCTTCTTCTTGGTTCTTTCGGTAAAGTCACGTAGAAGGGAAGTAATAAAATAATAAAAATAAAACATAATAAAATAATATTATTTTATAATAATTATAAGAAAATTATATTATTTTATTATGTTTTTTTTTATTCCCTTCTACGTGACTTTACCGAAAGAACCAAGGAGATGAATCCCTGCAGTCACGAAAGCTTTAAATCGAAATAAAACAAGGCTCTGTTTCACTGCCGACAAAAAAAATAAACAATAATTTAGTCTATCAGCCGATGAGTATTTTAGAGAAACGTTTCCCAGCGGCTGATGAAACTTGTTTCATATTCATCGACATGCTAATGTCCAAACAAATTAATCCATACTCCTTCCAATTTGTTTTAAATTTTTCTAAAGCCATCTCCTAAAAATAAATTACCTGGTCGGTCAAGATGGCCCAGTCAGGTTATTGTGTAAAGTAGCAATACCTATAGTTTCTGAAACTTTTACTTAAAAAAAAAATCCTGAGTAAAACCTCTCGTTTTTGCAAGTACATATATTTACACCCCCCACTCGTATATCATTGACTTGATTGCAAAGTGCTTTCACTCCAAGATGTCTTAATCTCCAGCCTAGCTATACAATGACCCTTGCGCAAAAATCCTCTCTAGCCTGTTAAGCTTATTAATTTGTAAAATGAAGTGCACAAATTCCTTACTTGTAATTATCTAATGAACAAATCCTGTAAAAATCTCATCATCACATCCAAAGTTATATTCTAAATGGCAGATGCAGATGCCTTGACCAAGCCATTATCCAAATTGCATTCATTGCTAAGCAGAATATAATTTTTTTCTTGGATCTCACTTGTTCCCATTATGCTGCTGAATGTGTCATATAATGCATTTAAAAGTTGAGTGATTGATTTCAGCATAGCCTGCTACTTTGTGTATTGTGATGAACGGACTTAGATTTCCTTTTAAGCATATGCAGCTGCAGCGAATGCACACCCAGTTGTCAGGAAACTGATGTGATTTATTGACCATTGCATGGGTGTAATGGGATGTGGAAGTGTGGTTTAATAATAACCAAGACGGAGAGACCAGAAAAACAAGGATTCTATGGCAGGGAGCAGAGACCTCTTTATTGAAATGCTCACAAGTAGTCAAAAGATTCACTGGACTGCCGGGAAATTTAAGGACACACCTGTATGACGTCGAGTCAAATGCGAGAATTTGTTGAAGTTTCATGTTCTCATGAATGACATTTTGTTTTATACCCACGTGGACACGTTTTCTGTCTTTATAGAAAACCACACGAAACTGGAGCAGCTATTTAAAGACGAGCCCCTCGTATTAGAGTAAGTATTATATTTGCTCAGTCTTCCAGGAGTTATCATCAAATTATATTTTTAATGACTTCCAGGATGACAGCCAGATTAAAATAAATAACTTGCAGACATTAATTATACAAATGCATTTAATATAGACGTCACGTTATGGACCAGCGCATAAGTCTTGTCTCCATACGAGGACTTGGCAGTGGCTGATTCATACATGTTACATGCTAAATACAGTGTAATTCATTACAACGGCACACTTTATATATATATAGGCATGAAGACGTGATCATCTTGACAGCATATTCTTCACAAGAGGTATGGAGACCACTTCAGCCTCTCCATTCTTTGCCAACTGGCACAGGTTTATTCCAGACTTTTGTCAAATCCGAGACTTGCCAGTCTAGCATGACCAGTTATCCATCCAGCAGTGGCCTCTCTCTCTTTCCTACATTTTTACTACACCACGTGCTTTTTGCGTGTTAGTTTGTTGTCCTTATTCCACAGCTTCGATTAGCGTGGTTGACTATGCACGGTGTGAAAGAAGTTCAGACGCTGTCTTTCTGACAGACCTGTTCTTCACCTGAGGACGGCTGCTTGCGTTGTGGCTGAAACGTCGTGAGAATTATTTTATTATGTTTTATTTTAATTATTTTATTATTTCCATTCTACGTGACTTTACCGAAAGAACCAAGAAGATGAATCCCTGCAGTCACGAAAGCTTTAAATCGAAATTTAAGTTCAACATACATATGTACATTTTTGGACCAGCTGACCAGCACTTCCGCTCTCGACATTGCCACGATTGATTATCCAATTTTAAACCAAGCAACTTTTTGCAGAAGCTCCAAATACAATCCCCAGTTGCGATAGCATGATGCCGTCCATTCACCGTTCTGTTTAGGAGATACGGAGAATACTGCGGAATAAGCCATATCTCCAAGGATACGCATTTTGAATGCATCCCAATGGAATAAAGCTTATAAATAAACTGTATAAATATACTTGCATTAGTGTGTTGCAGCACAGCCCAGGGCCGGCGCAAAGCAGTGCAAGCACTCCATCGCAACCTTCCAATTGATGCACCAGCCACTTTGTCACAGCTTGTGCCATCCTCAAAGGGAGTTAAGAGTCTGCTTTCCCATCTGGTTAATTGCTTTCTTTCCCAAGATATGAATTTTGCTAAAGTTCCTTGACCAAATGTAGCTGCCAGAACGCCTCCAAATCCTTGCAAGTAGGGGACTATTTACACTACTGCCATATGTGTACTTGACTCGGAGTAAGAAGTTCTTTCTTAATGTTATTTTACGTAAATGTTTTGAATTGTCACGTGAAATTAATCCAAAGCTTTAAATAATAACGTGGCTTACAAAACATATTTGAAGCTCAAAACAAACCCATGAGGTTCACACATTTATCGCTTTATCAGGAAAAAAATGACCATGTATTCCTATTAATCTATTGTGTTCTCTGAAGAAGGTACTTTGGCCAAAATGTCAACTCTTATATATTTTAAGACCACATTGTTATTGATGAATGTCAGTTACTTTTTTGTGAATTGTTAAAGTGCACGACTGCCACGCAGTAGCATCACCAATTAATGTGGTTAATGTGTGTTATCATTGTAGTTTTAATATGCATTCATTTTTCGGCTAAATTTAATAAATATATATCCTAAGAATAAATTATGATTTAGTCCCGAGCACTGGACACTGTGTACTGCGTTTTAGTTGGCGGTTTCACGATTAGTAATTGCCTGGCACAACATCGCTTATTGGTTCCACATTTTTATTGTAGTTAGTGTTGCCTAAGCTGTATTTCACCCACGTTTCTCTCGCAGGAGAGAGAACATTTTATTCCATCATTTACGTTCATTTTACCGTCACTACCCATTGCCCCATGACAGATTTTATATTTAATTTGCAGATGCCATCGTAATAGAATACATGCTACCTTAATTTTGCTATTTTAAATATTTTCAACCTTTGATTACATAAAAATAATGAAAATGTATGACAAATGAGAACATTTTACATTATGCAATATACAATATGTTTGAATATGAAATACCACTTGACGCGACATTTACATAAATATTGCATAAGTACGTGGATGCGTTTGCGTGTGTTGGGCATGGTGCTGGCCACCCACCTACCCCCTCGTGGGTGGCCTGCACCAAGGTCGTGATCGGCCTTCACAGTTGCACGCTAACAGCACTTGGCCCAAGTCTGCCATGGCTATACAGTGGATCATTGTCATTGTCTTTTTGTGTGTGCTTAACAGCTTTGATGGCGACATGATACCAGATGTTCTGGGAGAAATTAAGGGAGAAGAAAAGAGTTCAATTTGTTTCCTGAAAAACAGGTAATGGTGCAAACTTCCACTGTGCATGATAGCAGCTGTACATAGAGAGAGAGAGTATTCGAGGCAGCAATGTTAACATCAGCACAGCTGTGAGCTGTCAAATGAGCCTTCTGCTGTGCATATGACGGAGAGGATGAGGATAGATTTTGGTAAATAAAAAAAAACGCACAGAAACAACATTGCATTTGTAAGTGAACCCCTGAAGGAAGATATATATATATATAAATGCAATGCTTTGCTATTTGGTTTTGTGTGGCGGTTGCGTGCTGTATTGTATTGTCAACATCAGGTTTGCCCGCCTTGTTTCCCCAAAATTAGCAATCACATTCTTCTTAGGTTTCCCCCATCTGCTGCTTTTCTCTTAATCTCTTCGTAACAATTTTGATGGTGTCTCTTTGCTGAGGTCATCCACGCACATTTTTTTTCTCGGTGCACCTCTTTAGCTGCACGTATTCATCTTTTTACGAGATTAAGTTGAATTTTTATTTAAAGCTTTCGTGACTGCAGGGATTAATATTCTTGGTTCTTTCGGTAAAGTCACGTATATTATTTTATTATTTCCCTTCTACGTGACTTTACCGAAATAACCAAGAATATGAGATTAAATTGCATCTACGGCACAGTATTGTCTTTCCACATGTCCCGCAAATGCCATTTCACTCTGCAATCGTGGTTAAAAAGACGATCGGGTTCATGACAATTATTTGTGAACCCTCTTTGTTATTTATTCTGTTCTTCCAATTAATGTTCAGCATTCTCCTGTGGTTTTCACACCTGATGATGATTGCTTGTGTTGCAATCGAAACGTCGTGAGAATTTTATTGTTTTATATTTTTATTATTGTATTGTTTCCCTTCTACGTGACTTTACCGAAAGAACCAAGAATATGAATCCCTGCAGTCACGAAAGCTTTAAATAAAAAATTGATACTTTTAATTTGTTTATTTTTCCATTGGTAAAAGTTAATCTTCATTTGATTTCTAACAAACGTCACTTCTTAGAATCTGTTTGTTAGTTGTTATTAACTGCTTGTAACAAACTCTTTGATTCTGGAATGCATGCCTCATCAACTCGAATGTCCTCTATATATCGTTCGTGATTCAACCATCCACGTTCCTGAGTATTTGTAATCGTCAAGTTGTTGAAGTTCTTAAACTTTTTTTAATCTTGCACTTTATTTATCCAGAACTTGAATTATCACCGTAACGTTAGTTTTCGTCTTCTTCAATGCCATTACATCATTTTTATTTAATTGGTTAATTTTTAATTGTTGATCTCGCCTATCATCGGTAAGAATAATATCTGTCATCAATTTATCTTGGGTTATTTGCTTTCATTATATTCGTACCGGAATTCTTATTTCTACTTCCTCGATATGAAAATAAGTCGTTGTTGATGTTACAACCCAGAGAATGAAGACAGCCTCATCTTGAGCCTCGTCTCATTTCAAACTCCGTAGGCATTCCTTCGCTTGTTCCTACACTGCACGTGCTTTGGCTCATTTTATTCCCAGCCACATGTCTTGTATCAGAATGCCCACACTTAATCTGGGCGGTTGTTGCGAATCGCATCACAATTTAATTTCCAGCTTTTTCATCTGAGTGCTTGAAGTCAATTTTGTATAATCCTCATTTTTGAAAGGGGTATTCTATATCTTCATGTCCATGCTGGCTGTGAACTCGAATTTAAGTTCTGCTCTTGATTGATATTCTTTGTGTATCTAATGCTGTATCTTTATATATATATATATAAATACAGCTTAAAACAAGCGATAATGGTTACGCAATATCTTGCACTTTGTAATTGCAAACATTCGCATAAAAAGAGCCCAGCAGTATTGCTGTGTCATTGTGTTTCTGAGGTATTTATACGCATGGCAAAAATCAAATAACTCATCTGAGTCTAATGCTGGAGCATATGCTTGTATTATCAACAGGTTTCTGGGATTTTGCTGAAATGTCTGCAGTCTTTAAGAAATAGCATCTGTATTTAATGTAATGCAGTATAATTCCTTTGAAATGATCGCTGCGTGCTATTCTTTCTTTTCTCTCCACGTGAAAATATGACTTTAAACTCGACCTCTGGACGGTAATATACTTCTGAATTCTCCATCATCATTCCAAGCAGTTTCAGTGTTCCTAAGAATGGCTGCTTTCTTTCACCCCAATGCCGGATGAAGATGTCCGCTAGCTATCCAGTTTAATTCCAACCTCAAATGTCCCGCACGAAGATCATCCACCACCAAACACTGTCTGCCGTGTCGCCGTCAAGCAACCGAGCAAAACGACTCTCATTTTCACAACCATTTCCCTGCGTGCCGGCACTATTGTTTGTGATATGTTGGAATATTCGTGAGTATTTTTCACAGCTGTTGTCTACGGTGAGCAGCCAGAAGGCACGTTCATGGTTAAACAGACCATTCTCTCATGCCCAGACAAGCTCGCATGCTTGCAGTGGTCCCACTTCTGTCCCCTGGACATTCCGTTACCACACCTGTATATCGTGACTGGCCGGCTGTCGAACACACCCCTGTCTTTTGGTCTAAGTGGGTGCGATGGACTAGAGAGGGAATGAATGGAGCGGCCTGTTGTGCGTGTCCACTCGTAAACACGAGCAAGGGGGCAGGCAACCGGGTCGGCGTGACCTGGGGCTCACGTGGGCAGACTCAACATCCCGTGGTAATGGAACCATGATGGGCAGTGTAGAGGATCTTTTGAATGCGTCTGGGTCAGGGATGCTGCTGTGATGTCAGTGTTAATCTGAACGGTTGTTCGTGAATCGTATCACTTTAATTTCCAACTTCTTAATCTGAGTGATTGATGTAAAATTTCTAGAATTCTAATTTTTGAAAGGGGTATTCTTTATCTTCATGTCCATGCTGGCTATGAACTCAATTTAAGTTCTGCTCTTGATTGATATTCTTCATGTGGCATGAATCGTTCGCACACTGGACTTGGCAATCCAGAGGTCGCCGGTCTCATCTCCCAGAACGGCAGTTGAAACAAGGGTGTATGTTTCTTAAATCTCTTCCCGCTTCGGTTCACCCTGAAGTATAAATGGGTTCACCGTGGTTAGGTGATCAGCAGGTCATGTATGATAGTGTAAAGAGTGGGTACTGTCACCTCTTCCGAGGCATCTTGGCCATTGTGGAAGAGTAGGCCAATATACCATCTAGTCGGGCTGCCAAGAGCTGTCTTCAGTAGGAGACCCTTTCTGCCAACAATGGCACTGGTAAACAATTTGTGTCGAATTTAAATTATGATTCTCACCGCTGTTGAAGACTATACCGACAGGAAGTATTATTTTAGCAATGTAGTTTGGGAAGGCAGAATTAATGAAGGCTACCTGTAAAGGTTTATTGAAGCGAAAAGCTTTGCTCACTCATGGCATCGTCCTGCCTGGATTGTTTATTTTCCTAAAATACCTACGGAGAAAAGTTTAAATGAACTGGAAACCCCATTATAGCCATTCGTTCCATAACATTGCACTCTTTGAAGGCAGTCCAATTTTATCCACGAAATAGCAAAGCTCCATTGTATTGAAACAACAGTGCCATTTAAAATGACATGGTGTCTTGGGGGGGGCAGCACTTGGAAGCCCCCATGCAAACGGATGTGCTATTATTAGCGTATTGTATACAGCTGCTGGCCAAGGTAGCTGTTTCTATCGGCCGAAATGCCAATACATTTCAATTTCTAGTATGCACTGGATGTAAAATGTTGTCGTGTGCCATTGGTGGCAGCGGACATGAACGCACAGACGGCATTTGAGTGTGCGTGTGTGTATGGGGGGCGGTAGTGTAGCGGTTAGCGCACTATGCTACAAACCCACCGACTCGATTTCGATTCCTGCTCACAGCCAACAGCAGTGACGATTATCTTAACTGGTCATGGGCCTCCCTTAGATCGACTCAGCCTGAAATGAGGACCTGGTGCGATGTGGAAACCTCGCCACTGGGGAGACGAAGGCGGCCGAACGTGGTGCTGGCCACCCACACCGTCATGTGCCACAGTGCCGGCCTTCATAGGTGCTCGCTAACAGCACTTGCCCCAATAATCTGCACAGGCTATAACGAGGGATCTTTGTGTGCGTGCACGCGTGTGTACAGACGCACAGACAGCCAGAGCCCCCCCCCCCCCCCCCCACACGTATTGGCATTTATGATATTTATGATGCCGTCCCCACTGGCCTGGCAAAACACTGCGTTATACGCAGGCGTAATGGCCTGTAATGCACCAAGAGACACTTTCTCGCCTTCTGAGGAAGCTATAAATAAGCCTAACGAAGCTGCTCCTCTGCAATTATTTCACACCTATATACCGCGGACGTTTCTCACGCCCCTCCCTGCGTCTAATGAGGTGCGAAAAACACAACATGCCTCCGTGGCCATTATGACTCCCGTAATACGTTGCCCGATGCAGAATTTCACCTTTAAACTTCATGGCCGCTTTTACTGCATCGTGTGACAAACAGAGTAATCGATTGTAACGTTTGGTAACATTTTAAATATCTCTTATGCATTTGGTGTGGTTTTACTGGTCATCGCATACCATTCTTGGTATGCGGTGTGGTTTTACTGGCCATCTCATACCATACTTGGTATTCGGTGTGATTGTAAATGGGCATGGTTTTTGTGCCAAAAGTAATAAGCGCTTCTCAGCATTTATTTAGTTTTACGTAAGCAAAGTGATTTCTTTTCGAGCCGCACCACTGCACCGTTTTTTCCCTTGTGCAATTCGGCCCACGTACGCCTGCATGCCCGTACGCTCACGCAGGGAACAGGTGGGTAATTTTACGTTGCGTTCAACGATTATGATTATCAAATAAAACTTCTGGGGATATTTTGTGCAAATCCGAGTTATTTTCTTCTTCTAATGAGGTCATCATAATTTTAAATGAACCCGTTTGAACCTTGAATATTTTCCGATAACCCCGTAAAATTTGCTTTCAACAGTAGATTATTAATCATGCAGGTGCAGTGGATTTAATGAGGGGAGTTG